GGCGAATTTGCAAGCGCCAGCACCGCTCCACCCTCACATATTTTGACTCCAATCGCTAAAAAACCTGAATCGCGTTTTCAACAAGGAAGGGAAATTATCTCGGCACCAACCATTCCCACACTGACTCTACGTGAAGCTGTTCAAGCCAGTGCTTTACCACCTCAACCCATGCCACCCTACAACAACTGTTTGAGGAATTCCTGAAAGGGAAGAACTTTCCTCTTCCTACTGCCCAGGAAAGTGCAACTCCTGTAGTTCCAGCACTTCCGCCTGTTCCTACTGAAGCCAGCAAATCTTCTCGCCCTAATCCGGAGAAGGAAAATCCTGAAGAATCCTCTACAGACAGCTAAGAAGTAAATCCTAGAGATATCGAAGATTTGCTGATAGAGCAACCCCTTGAAGAACCAACCCAACAAATAATGGCACCCACTCAAGAAGCCCCGACCGGTGATCAACCTGAAACAACCGAGCCAAGTGACTGACGTACTGAAACTGAGGATGCTCCCATTGACAAGTGTAGAGAAGACGACAACGACCGGGTATTTCAATATTTGGAACCCACTGTAGGTTTTCATCTCAATGAAACTATTGACTCCAATCTCTTTTAGAGCCATGATCATGCAAATGCTTTTCAATCGTTCGTAACTCGTGGACCCATTCCTCATCGCTTTGTTGATTTTGATTATCTGGACACTCACGACATTTTTATCATTGAGTTATTTGAAAATCTTCAATCGAAATTCTTCTCTTCTATGAAAGACAAAGTTTTTCCTATACTCGTGGCTGTGTTCTACTCCAATCTACACTTACCTAGTTACCATTTTGGGCAACTAATTGATTTCTTGATTTCTAAGGCTGATTAGCCTAATTACACGCTTGATTGACCTTGCCCATGATTGAATTGATGATTGATTGGCTTTAATTTCGTTTAGCAATGCATGATTCTTCAGTAAGTAGTTTAGGAAAAGGGATTAGATTCTAATTAGGTGCTAGTGACTAAGCCTACTGCTTTGTGAAATGCAAGTGGAGGTTAATTATCACTTTAGTATTAATTAATCAACCCCTAGCTTTGTGAGGTAAATGTGAAATCGAATTGCATGATTAATATCAAATTACTGAACCTAACTCGAGGTTCTTGATTTCCCGATTGATTTGTGTGAGCTTTCTAATGCTTGAATTGAGTGGTTGCATGGTTGAATGTTTGAATGGAATCGATGACGGAGCTTGGTGGCCAAGTTCCATGGTGGTGGTCCGAGGCGACAATTAGACTTAGGTTCATTAATCTAGCTTAGAATTCATTAGGCTAGTTTAGTTTATAGACTTAGGAATTAATAATCCAATTTGTTTAGACTTTAGTTGATATAGTCTACCTAGAAAAAATAAAAACCAATTAGACTTAAAATCATTTTCGTAATAAATGAATAGCTTAGCCTAGATTAGTCTCATCACCATTTCTTAATAAAATGAGTAGAATTTATGCTCACTTTGATTTAGGAATTAGGTTTAGTCTCTAATATCAAGCTTATGGGGATTTATGTCCCGAGACTTATAACAATGCGGTGTAATATTCTTTGCCCAATAAGTATCGGGTTTTCATTTTCGCACCTCTATTTCCTATTTCAAGCATTTCAATAATTGAGTGTTTAATTCCGCACTTTCAACAAATCGAGTGCTCTTTTATTTTTAGATTGGTTAGGATAACCCTTAGGAACATAATAAACCCTAAAAGAACAATTGCATGAGCACGTAGCGACATCAAATGGCCTTTAGGATCATAATTGGTAAAAGTCGTTTGATTACTTAGATGGACAACTATACTAAATTACAAGCACCAAAAGGACGCTAATTAGACGATTAGCATAATCAAGTCCCCAAACTTAGTTAATCTCTAGTTGCGTAGAAAACGAGACAAAACCCTCATGTCTTGTTTGGTTCCTAGCAGACCCCTATTTGACAGTTTAATTTCTTCGATACATTTTTTGAGGAAAATTGTTCACAAATGAGTGATTATAATATTGATACCTTGGGCTCAACCATTAAGCCTCCAGAAATAATTGGGTTTATGAGTCCTTCTAATGAAATTTGCCTATGTTGATTAATCCATAAGGACCCCCATCTCCCCAGGCTCATTCACGCCAACAAAGAGAGCATTTTCGTCCTTGCATAGGAAAATATGATAGGATAATGTCCATTTCCTTCGAAGGGGGACGGAAGAAAGGAGAGCAGGGACTGCTTTCCCTCGCCTTCCCGAGAAAACAAAAGGAAGCTCCATCGTCGCCTGAAAAGGAAGTTGTTTGAAACAGAGTGGCGATCGAAGTGGAAGCTGGAAATGAAGACTCATCGTGGAGTCGCTGCAAAGAAAGTTCTCTGCTCGGCGTTTTTGGTGTCGAGCGCTTTGATTCTGTTGTTGTTGTTCGATTTCTGCGAGCTCGCAAGTTTCGCTTCTGATCCTCCGATGTTGAAATCTACTTCCTCCGATGGTTCATCGTTTGGTGGTACAAAAGAAGGTGACAAGCTCGAACGATCTGGTTCGAGCTGCGAGCTTTGCGTCCACCGAGTCCGTGGTCGGAGTTCAATCGCGTCCACATAGCAACACAACAGCGACGATCAGAAAGACCGAAAATGCAAGCGAAAAACGAAGACTGGAGTTCGATCGAATTCAGACTCTTCATTTCAAGCTCCTAATCATCCCATTGCTACAAGAGGATTAAGAGCTAGGTTCTTTCCTCTTTGGCTTCGATACTCGATTCAATTGGCAGTACTAATCCTCGGCATCTTGCTTGTATTACCAGTGCTCGGGATTCTGGAGACGGACCGAGAGGCAATGGGCAGAAGAAAAATGAAGAAAAAATAAAAATAATAAAATCATCCGAAAATAAAAATTGGGAAAATATTTAGAAAAAATAGGCCTTGATTAGGTTGTTAGATTTGGGAATTAGAATTGGTTTAGATTCATTTAGATAGTTAAGAAAATTAATGTTTTCCTTAGTCTAGTTTAGGTAGATTAATCTGTTTAGAAAATATTGAATTTGATTTGAACAAAACTCATGGGGTTGCTGTCTCGGGACTTAATATCAATGCCATGTCATATTTTTTGCTCGACTCGTATCGGGTTACTTTATCGTACTTTACATTTTACTCATATTTTAATATCGCTCTCGATGTGTTTGATTTCACCGTTTCCTTGATTGAGTTTTTATTATTTCGTTTAGCCTAGTAGGATGGTTAGGCTACACACTAGGACCATAATAAACAAAAAAACATTGATGGACATTTAGCGGACAAGGACTTTAGGACTCATAATTGGATTAAAAGACTGCATGGACATTTTAGTTGATAAATACCCAAGCTTAGGTATTTAGTGCAATCAAGTCTCCGACCATAGATTTCTGGTTGCATAGGAAGTAAAGTATATTCCCATATCTCACTTAGTTTCTAGCCACTCTCAATAGATTAGTGACGACTCCTCATATAAAATTCTCATAGGGTTAATTGAAACTAAAATTGAATATCCCAATATCACGCGAGGTAAGGGTTGCCGATTGAGGACCGTTGGTCCCAACTCGTCATTACCTCTAAACCCCGTCCTTTTCCTCCGAACGGGAAAGGAGGGTTGCTACAACTCCAAAAGGCTAATGGCGACTCATGGAAAGGCTAATCAAAACTTAAATTGAAATCTAATGTTGCGTGAAGTATGGGTTTGGAAGAGCCTGCGTTTGCGTCGGAAAAATTGGGTCGCAACTGTGATATCTCCCTCGAGATTCAATAATGCTCCATCAAGTTGTTATCAGTGTTTTCCTAAAAGTCCGAGATTTGATTCCTCTTTTCAGATGCTCCCATATGGATTTTTACGAGAAAGTCTAGAAGAAAGAACAAGGAGGTGGGACAGGGAAGCTATTATTCGACGTTCAGAAAAAATGATGGAGACGGGTTGCTCCTCAGTCCTCACCATCATCAGACAACGACGAATTAACGGTGGATGCTAGTACCATATGATTAAAATTGGCCACGTGATGTAGGTCATGTGTTATCGGCCATATGTTAATAGGAGTGAATAATTGTCTATTTTGTCATAGTATTAACGATGCTTGGCCATATATGGCCATATATAATGTAAGCTTGTTTGTTTTCTTCTTTCCCCGAACGCCTTTATAATGCATCAGTTTGTAACAAAGAGGGCAGAATCGACCCTCTAGAAATAAAATCGGTTGGTTATTCAATGAGTCCCTAAAAGCTTTCTTTCTTTCCTCGAAGCCTGGTATGATTTTCTAAAACAGAAAACTGCATATTCTGGTTAATACTCGTGGTATGCTTTGCACTTGCCACTATGCAGATCGAAAGTAGTGCTAAAGAGGAATGTGATGACAAAGAGGCAGTCCTATTGAAGACCAAGAAAGCCATGTATGCAGGATAGCACAACTGCCATAGATTCTGTCTTCGTTTTCCCTGATCCATATCATTGGTTGTTTTAAACCACAGGTTTTCGGACGGGTGGCTGGGTTCAGCAGCCAGAACCGTGAACCTACCTGCATAATACCGGTTCTTGGAGACCCTCAACTAGTGCTCACCCTTATTGTATATCGAATCGCTATTGATACGTTAATCTTCTTTTATAGATACAAACACAATAATACAAGAGTTTTGCAATTCTTAGGAGGATGACTTCCTAGAAACATCTTGGCAGCAAATTTTTTGGCGGATGAAGTTACTGGGAAATTTCCATGATTTTATCCATACTAGAATCTCTAAAATCAGCGTATTGGTTTATAACCCATCCCAAATTTACTTTTCAAATAGGCTATGTTCATCACTGACGTGTTTTTCTTGGAAATATCTGACATCAACTTGCCACCATGTTTAGCAAGGAATAGTCATACAAATAATAGACGGATCCGCGTGAAGACTCCATATGTGATTGCTTTGATGGACAAAGATCAAATAGCAGAGTCAAGTCAACTAGTTTCGTCGGGTGCTAACTAGTAGGGTAGAGCGAGAGAAAGAGAGAGAGAGAGTGGGGTCAGGACTGCGCAGAGGAGGAGAGAGAATGGGAAAAGGAGACATGTTGGAAATATATGATATCAATTTGCCACCATGTTTAGCAAGGAATAGTCATACGAATAATAGACGGATCTGCGTGCAGACTCCATCAATGATTGCTTTGACGGACAACGATCCAATAGCAAAGTCAAGTCAACTAGTTTCGTCGGGTGCTAACTAGTAGGGTAGAGCGAGAGAAAAAGAGAGAGTGGGGTTTGGACTGCACAGAGGAGGCGAGAGAATGGGAATAAGAGACATGTAGATTGAGCTTTGGTGGGGTTGCGCGTCGTAAGAAGTATAATAAAATTAAGTTGGGCGATTTTTCGATGGGTGATATGAAAGTCCTACGTAGGGTTGGGTAGGCTAGTACCGGGAGTTATTATATGGTTTATAGGTCAGGTAGATCAAATCCAATCGAACCATAAATCATTTGAGCTCTAGGGTGAAATGCACACGACCACGCTAGTCCCCAATCAAGTCAATTCAAGACCGATGCACGAAGCATAAAACTGAAGTACCTGTCTATTTCCCAATTTGGCAATACGTGCAAATGCAGATTCTGCGAATCTTCAACTCAAACCTCAGGCGGGAGCTGCCAATGTTGAAGAAGGAAAAGTTGGCTTCTGACAAGTCCACCGTAAAAGTCAAGAGTTTATTAGTTTCATGGAGAGGAGTTTGGCAATTTAAATAGCGGTGGCGTGCATCAAATTTGATTCATCAGCCTCTTCTTTCCTAGCAATAGCAAAATGGAGGAGCAGATTGCGGGGAGAAGATTGATCCTGGCTATGCTGAAACCGGCAATTCAGATGGCCTTCGCTTGTATTGTGCTTGTTTTCGCAGCTGCAGCAGAATCATCTCCTCAGAGTCTAACCTGGCCAGGCTGTCCGGACACATGTGGCAATCTCACTAACATTCCGTATCCTTTCGGAATCGGACTTGGCTGCTTCTTGGATCCCCGATTTGAGATCGATTGCCAGCAAACCCATGGCATCTCTACTCCGGTACTTAAGAATTTAAGTGTGGTGGTGTTACATATCTGGCTACCTAGTAGTTTAGCTCCGGGTCTCATTAAGGTCAGCCAGCCTATACTGTACTCCCATCTTAATTGTTCAACCAATCAGCAAAATGACGCCCCTGTGGACTTAAGTGCCAGTAACAGCGTTTTCAGGTACTCTCAAATTCATAACTATTTTGTTGCTGGAGGTTGTGACAGTCTGGCCTTGATGGCCGGCACCGACACCCCTAGGGCGGTAGTAGGATGCATGTCTTCCTGCGGCGGAAACAAGACTCTTGGATTCAACAAGTGCTCTAGTGGTACTGGTTGCTGTATGACTTCTATCCCCGATGTTATAAGCAAATACAGCGTGGAGTTCAAGACTCTCAATGGCAAAACCATAGTGCCAGGGGATGTAGAATGCATGTATGCCTTCTTGGTCGCGAAAACATGGTGGTATCAAGCTGATTTGCACAGTTTACCACCGAACGTTCCAGTGATGCTCGAATGGGCGATCGCCTCCTATGAGTATAGCCTATTGAGCAAACAAAAAAATGGGCGAGGCAATGATAGTTCCACCTCTTGCCATAAATACTCGCCGCCTGGGGTTCATAGTCTAATGCATTGTTTTTGCAATCGAGGCTACAGAGGGAATTATTTTCTTCCCCAGGGATGCCAAGGTGAGAATAAAATGTCCACTTTCATTTTGTATCTTAGCCTTATTCGATATCCCAAGCTAGGTAGGACGATAAGCGAACTTGAAACCTACAAAAAAAAAACCAGCGAATATAGCTGGAATAATTAAATTGTTGATATATGCTCACAAATTGGTAATAAAGGAGAATCCAAGGGAGAATTCGACTGTTGAAAGCTTAGTTTGATGTTATATATATATTGAAACTGTTTGTTCTTTTTGCTTCTTTCTTTGATCCCATTCATCATTTTATTCGTATCAATAAGATATCAATGAGTGCAAAGAAGATCCGAGCCTCAACTGTCGTGGGAAGTGTGTGAATCGACCGGGGTCATATGATTGCATAGACAATAAGATCATCACCATGATAGGTACGTCACTGTGTGCTCCTTTTTTCTCCTAGTCACGAAATGTGACTGTCTGTGTATACACCAATTTCATTTGCACGAATGCAAAAAATGTTACCATTTCTGCTCAATTTAAATTGTACTTCATAACCTGTGCATTCAATTATGCTTTTAACTTAAGAAAAACTCTTCGAATATTATCTACTAGGTCATTAAAACGATTGCGGTGGGTCGACTCTTTTCTACACAGGTGTGGGCACAGGTGTCGGAGTCATAATTTTACTTTTGCTTTCTTGGAGGTTGTACAAATTCTTGAAAAGAAAGTGTGAGGAAAAGACCAAGAACAAATTCTTTAAACGTAATGGCGGACTTCTAGTGCAACAATGCCTATCTTCCATTGAAAACCATCATATGGAGAAAGGCAAGTTATTCACATTGAAGGAGTTAGATATGGCTACGGACCATTTTAACGAGAATCGCATATTGGGTCGGGGTGGTCAAGGAACTGTTTACAAGGGAATGTTGTTAGATGGAACGATTGTTGCCGTCAAGAAATCCAAAGTTATTGATGCTGGACAGGCCGAACAGTTTGTCAATGAGGTCCTTATTCTCTCTAAAATCAATCATAGAAATGTTGTCAAGCTATTAGGAATCTGTCTGGAGAGTGAAATCCCTCTTCTAGTATATGAATTTGTCCCCAATGGAACTCTCTACCAATTTCTTCATGATCCACAAAAGGAATTTCCTGTATTGTGGGAAATGCGATTAAGAATCGCTAGTGAAGTTGCTGCGGCTCTTTCATATTTGCACTTTGCTATGGCCATACCGGTTTATCATCGCGATATCAAGTCATCAAATATACTTTTAGACGAAAAATATCGAGTCAAAGTGGCAGATTTTGGAACTTCCAGATCAGTTACCATCGACCAAACTCACTTGACCACAAGAGTGCGAGGAACCTTTGGATACTTGGACCCAGAGTACTACCAAACAAGTCATTTTACGGACAAGAGCGATGTCTATAGCTTCGGGGTTGTCCTTGTCGAGCTACTAACTGGAGAAAAACCAATTTCTCAACTAAGGGCGGAAGAGGGAAGAAATCTATCCACATACTTTGTCATTTCGATGGAGGAGAACCGCTTGTTTGATGTTCTTGATAAAGAGATATTAGACCATGGCGAGAAAGAAGAAATCATTGCAGTTTCTAACTTGGCGAAAAGATGCTTAAACCCTAATGGAAGGTACAGGCCTACGATGAAGGAAGTGGCCATGGAATTGGAGCGAGTACGATCACTACGGAATCCCATGGTCGTCTGCCAAAATGAGGAAGAGATCGATGGCTTTAGAACTGGATCTATCTATGGTGCAATCTCCACATTGATGGGATCGGAAGCACATGTAGAGCTGACTTCGTGGTTATACGATTTGCCGAGATGAAGATGCATTTCGTTGTTTGTGTTCAATTTTCCATTGATATGAAACCTGGCAATCTCTTTATTTGCCTCCATATGCGAGTCATGGAATAATGTTGATTATACTATGCTAATTTCATGCACCCTATTGATATACTCTTCGTACATCGAGTATCATTGAAGACAATATCATCTCTTCTTGATTTCTTGTTAGTCTGGTTTAGCTTTTCACTGGGGTGCACTACTGTGAATGTCTCATTAATTGTAGACGAATGCTTGTTTTTTGTTGCGCGTACCGGAGATGGAATGTAACTTTTGGAATTCCAATCTTTCTAATTTTACAATATGTTAGTTATACTTATCAGGGTGCATTTTAATGCTTTACAAAGTACTTTTGGCCTTTAAAGTTCCTTGAGTAAAAGTTATAGGGTTTGGTAAAATTTTACCGTATCTTTGAGTCAAAATCTGCATGGGCAAAGCCTAAAGTCCAAGGCAAGTACTCTTTGGTTTGGACTTTGATACCGAAAGTGATAGAGGGTTTAATGATTATTTTTTCATAACTTTACCCTCGTTAAACTGTCAAATTTCCAAGATTTAGTACTCTTACGATTTGGATAATTCTATCGTTACATCCACTAACTGACGCATTATCTACCCTACACGTAACGGTTTTTCTACTAAATGCTTACATCGTACTAAGGTAATGGTATACATCATCCCTTTTTCCAATAATCAAAGGAGAGTGAGCAACTGTTCTCACCACCATGCTCAATTTCCTTCTTCCTAAACTTCCTCCTCGTCCTACCCTTTTAAGTTTCTCTAACTCCCACTGCTCTCATTTCCTCATCTTCTTCTTCCGGGTTTGTGCCTTTAGCCGATGGACTTCATTTTACGTTTAAATGTCCATTGATGATCCTATATCTTGATTTCTCTTTTCTGCTTTAAGAAACAGCCTGACGACCAAGCATTTGCAATATGGATAATTATCTAAAAAGTCATAAACTTATTTTACAGTGGCCAATTCTAAACCTTCCAATTATGCAAATTTAGTTCTAAACCTTTTGATGATTTGTTAATCTAGTCATAAACTTTTTAACGATTTACCAATGTAGTCCATCCGGCTAATTTTAGTCGAAAATTGCTCACGTAGCATTCCATAATACCGCCATCCCACGTGGCACGACCAGCACTGATATGGACGATTTTTATAATTATTAAAAAAATTATGATTTTTTTCTTTTTCCCCTTATTTTCCTTTGCGGTCACTGGCCATCGGCAAGGGCTGCAATGCTATTGCTTATGGCCAGTGGCAGATGCCCTCGCCAGATGTGGCAAGGGCCACCATCGCTTGAGGTCGGCGGCCGTTGAAGGGAAAATAGGGGAAAAGAAAAAGAGAAATTTTAAAATTTTTTTAAAAATCATCTACATCAATGATGACCGTGCCACATAGGACGGCTGGCATTGACTGAATCGTCACGTAAGTAATTTCCGACCAAAATTAGCCGAAGGATTACATTGGCAAATCATTAAAATTTAAGATTAAATTAGTAAATTATCAAAATATTTATGACTAAATTGACATAATCAAAATGTTTAGAATTTAATTGCCTATCCTTACATGAATCCCAAATGCATGAATGTGATGTACCGAAAAATTTGCGGTTCCTAATAAAATAGATAGTAAAATAGGAATCAAAATTTAGTTAGTGTGCATATATCTCCAAGATTTTCGTTTTTTTTCTTTTTGGTATTATTAATGGATGAACGTTTAAATTAATAGCTTTGCTTATCGCTGTTGTATTTCAATTACTCGGGTTTCTTCCAACTTGTATAAACAACCTTATCGAAAAAATTTCAAATCTTAAAATGTTTTTCTCTTTCCACGTACTTGTAAGTTGTAAGTCATCATCGTTTTTTGCGCTGTTTGAGGCATGACAGACAGACCAGACATCTACACAACGACAACGCAACTGGTAGATGGTGGCCAAGACTTGTCAAGACAAAAAGACGGTTGTAGATTCTGAGAGCGTAACCTAAAAACCTCAATTTACCTTTATCCCAATTATATCCAAACTTTTTTGTCTTATAAAATTCAAACTTTTATTTTTGTCTTACATTCACTTTCTCATTCAATTTTTAATATTATTTTTTATTTTTTCGATTTTTTTATTTTTCTTTTCTTTCTTTTTCCTTTCCTTTCTTTTTTTTTTTGTTTCACCTTTTCCTTCCTTTTGATTAATGACCAGACGGCAAGCTGACTCGGTCTTCGAGGGAATCGATCCTTACAGATGTCGTCATGACATGAAGTAAGCTAAAATCTAAAAGTTATCGACACCGTCAACACCGGAAGGGCTCTCATTCTTCTCCAAATGTGTCTTCCGGGCTCGAGGCTCCGCCTCGGCCAAGAATCGGGCGAGGTCAACCTCGCCAAAGAAATCGAGGTTCACGGCTGCCGACCTCGCTGCGACCGGGAGCCGACCTCGCCAGGTGCCGGCGGCCGAGCCTCGCCAGATCCGTGAGAACTCGGCCACGCCGGGCCGGCGAGGCCGACCTCTCCATAGCCGGCGGGGCCGAGCCTCGCCGTGGCGGCGAGGTCGGCCCCGCCGGCAACCGGTGAGGTCGGCCTCGCCCAAAGAACGGCGGGCCGAGCCTCGCACCACCTGGCGAGGCTCGGCTCGCCCATCGCCGGCGGACCAAGCCTCGCTGCCACGGCGAGGCTCGGCCTCGCCTAACGCCGGCGAGGCCGAGCCTCGCCCCGCCGGCCCAGCCTGCGGCGGTCGCTGTCCGCGACCGGCCCAAAGGTGAAACAAAAAAACAAGAAAAGGAAAGGAAAAAGAAAAGAAAAGAAAAATAAAAAAAATTCGAAAAAAAAAAAAATAATATTAAAAATTGGACGAAAAGTGAATTGGGTAGATTTGAGACAAAAGTAAAAGTTTGAGGTTTTTTATAAGACAAAAAAAAGTTTGGGATATAATTGAGATAAAGGGTAAAGTTGGGGGTTTTTTAGGGAATTGGGCCGATTCTGAGAGCGTATAGAGTGACATGAAGTAAGCTAAAATCTAAAAGTTATCGACACCGTCAACACCGGAAGGGCTCTCATTCTTCTCCAAATGTGTCTTCAATTTTGGCCGACCGGTACTGACATGGACACCCGCCATCCTATGTGTCACTATCGATGCCAACTTGAATAATTTTTAGTAATATTTTAATATTTTTTTCGATTATGTATTTATTTATTTTTCTTTTATTTTCTTCTCTCTTTCTTTATTTTATTTTCTTTCCTTCTTCCTTTGGCCGACGAGGACGGACCTCGCTATTATTGGGTGAGATTGAGCCTTGCCATGGTTGGGCGAGCACAACCTCACCCAGTGACAATGAGGTCGAGCCTGGCTAGGGGTGGGCGAGGTTGGCCTTGCTGACCCTTGCCTCTGGCCAATTTATGAGGTCCGGCGACCGACCAAAGGGAAAAGGAAAAAAAATAAAAAAAAAAGAGAAAGAAAAGAAAAGAAATAAAAATAGAAGAAGTGTTATAAATTGCCCACGTCATGCGTCATGTCGTTAAACAATCTGACCAAAAAAAAAAGCGCCATGTCTTACCAGCATCCTGTGTTTATGTATATACAGACCAATCCTCTAATTCTTCTCTCAGCCTCAAACTGAAGACACATTTGGAGCAAAGCGCACCCACCAACAAATCAAAACGAAAGCAGGACGATGATCACGATGATACTGCGAGTGGCCTTCAAACTAGTCGCTGCTTATTGCCTTCTCTTTCTGCCGCTGTCGATGAAATACCGAACCCGCCTCCCTCGGTGGCCCTGCCCAGCTGCATTGCCGCATGCGGCAACTTGACGGTTCGATACCCGTTTGGGATCGGGTTCGGCTGCTTCCTGGATGAACTCTACGAGATTGAGTGCCCCTGTCGCCACGCTGAAGAACCTCATGAATGTAACAGTGCTCAACATTTCCCTACCGGTGCCGGACAACTCTGGAGGCCCTGGCGGATTCATCGAGGTCTCTCAGCGAGTCCTCTACACCGACACGATCTCTGAATGGAACTGCATGGGTGGAGCAGTGAACGGCGACATCACAAAGTCGTTGAACTTGACGGGAAGTCCCTACATGTATTCGCAGACAAAGAACGTGTTCGTGTCCGGAGGGTGCAACAACCTGGCGTTCATGGTCAACCTCAGCAAGAAGTCAGCGATCGTCGGCTGCAGGTCGACTTGCCCCGAGACTGGCACCTACTACGACTGCGTGAATGGGGTTGGCTGCTGCATGAACACGATCCCCCTTGGGACTCCAGGCATATGACGTGGATTTCCAGAAGGAGGATGATGATACAGGGTACACCGTTCCATCGTGCAGGTAACATTAACGCTCGAACGAATTGAAAGTTTTGAATCCCTGATCTGAGCATCATGCCAGTTTGATTCTCACACCCTCAGAGGAGATATTAATCTCACTCTTGAGCCACCCTACTTGGAGTTTCGATTCGGGTCTTGATGTCTCCGGCGTGAGGTTAGTCAAGTATTCAGTTGATCCCGAATTTAATCGGCTAAGGTGGAATTTCTCGTAAAAAAGAAAACGTTCGTTATAATAAGCTGTCATGATATAGAAAATTATATTCTAAGTAAGATTAGTACGTTTGGATTACCTGATTATTAGATATTATCACCATTGGGGGTTAAAGTCACCAACTCCTGTTGGTGCTTTAAATGAAGGCTTTTTGGAATCACTCGAGTCAAAAATAATCCTATGAACCGTCCACACAAATGCAGGTTCGCTTTCTTAGTGGATCAATCGTTGTACGATTTTCCTAGCAGCATGACCGATACAGGACGCTTACCATCACACCATCACATGTGCTCGTGGCCCTCGAATTGGGGGGGGGGGGCGGGGCTGGGGGTGGTATCTCCAATGAAACATTCGTCAAAATGCCAGTTTCAGCTGGTGAGTACCCAGACGCCGTTCTTGCGTCCAGCCACTGGTGCAGCCACTACGTCAGCTCTTTCTCCGCTTTTGATAACCCCAGGCCTTACATGCAATGCCGCTGTAGGTCCTGCTTCGCTGGTAATCCCTATATAAGTGGAGGATGCGAAGGTGAGACGGCATGATAATTCCCGTTATTTATGTTTTTGGTTTAGGCAAACTTCTCGGCTGTCTGCATCCCTACCTCCTTTATCGCTGAGCAGAGTTGCATACCGAAACTACTAAGATATATTGTTGTTATATATTAGATCTTGGGAAAATGATACACACAGTCTCTGAACTTTGGCCTAATGTGCAATTTGATCCATGAACTTCTAATTTGTTCAATTTCATCCATAAATTTTTGGTACATGTTCAATTCAGTCTTTGAACTGTATGAAAATGTTCAATGCAGTCTTTTCCATTAATTCAAGTTCAAGGACTACATTGAACATTTTCATATAGTTCAGAGACTGAATTGAACATGTACCAAAAGTTCAGGGATAACATTAAACAAAATAAAAGTTCAGGGACTACATTAAACATTAGCCTAAAGTTCAGAGACTACATCGAACAAATTAAAAGTTCAGGGACCAAATTGCACTTTGAGTCAAAATTCAGGGACTGTTTGTGTTATTATCCCTTGGATCTTTACACTCCACATTATAATTACTGAAAAATTGTGACTGGAGGAGGAAATGGATCAGAATACAGACAGTGAAACAGGATAAAGATTCAATGAATTACTATGTCTGGTTCTTCCATATGTTACGTTTCCTCCATTTAATCCACACCCTTTGACTATTAGCCAAAGTCACTTGATCAGAGATTATTTCTTGGGATTCTTCTACACATTGACGTGGGCTCCTTTCTACCTCTATTTCCAACTACTTGTATAAACAAAGTATTTTTACGGATTATTCTAGATAACTCTAGTAAAATGGATCATATTTGAACGCCCTTCTTTTCATGTCTAAGCTTTGTCCGCTTTATCCTAGTTCATCTCACTCGACATTCATGTAGCCTAACTTCTGCAGATGTGCTTGGTCCATTGAGGAATAGATTACTTATGCGCATACTACTAGAGAAAGGCTGTTTGTTGTATTTAACAGTGTTCTAAGATTGTTGTTTGTAACCTTTTGATTGTTGGCAGATATAAATGAGTGCTTAATCCCAAATGCCAATGTTTTCCCGGGGAAGTGCGTGAACTGACCTGGTTTTTATGACTGTGTGGGCAACAACAGCAATTACGTGGCCATGATAGGTAAATGTTTCTCGCTAGATCATTTGGCAAAATAGGTTTAAAAATTTTGATAAGTCACTGTGCTTCTGTTCCCATCTATTTCTCCTTAATTCACAAGCAATTGTTTTGTTTCCTTTTCTTTCGAGAGGCTATGTGCAATTGAATCGATTTCCCACTGTTCAAATTTAAGAGGAAAACCATGTAAGTTGATTTTAGTTACCTCGAACAAATGAGAGATTTCCCTAAAGCAGTTGTTACTAGACTATTTTCATGATGGGGTTGGCAGTGGTTTTGGAGCCGTTCTCTTTCTGGGATTATTGTGGTGGTTCTACAAATTCATGAAGAGGAGGCATGAAATCAAGCTCAAAAAGAAGTTCTTTAAACGAAATGGTGGTTTTTTATTACAACAACAACTATCTCATGATGAAGACAATCACATGGAAAAAGGCAGATTGTTCACTTCGAAAGAGTTAGAGAAAGGTACTGATCATTTTAATGAGAACAGGATACTCAGTCAAGGTGGATAAGGAACTGTCTACAAGGGAATGCTAATAGACGGAAGAATCGTTGCTGTTAAAAGATCAAGAATTGTACATGAAGGACAAGTGAAACAGTTTGGCAATGAGGTTCTGATTCTCTCACAAATTAATCATCGTGACATCGTTAAATTGTTGGGATTTTGTTTGGAGACAGAGGTTCCGCTTTTGGTGTATGAATTTATTCCGAATGGAACTCTTTATCAGCATTTGAATAATCCAACTGAAGAATTTCCAGTGTCATGGGAAATGCGAATGAGGATTGCCACTGAAGTTGCCGGAGCTCTTTCCTACTTGCACTTTGCCGCGGCCATACCCATTTACCATTGAGATGTGAAGTCTTCGAATATCCTTTTGGACGATAAATACCGGGCCAAAGGAGCTGATTTCGGAACTTCGAGATCTGTTGCCGTTGATCAGACTCACTTAACCACAGTGGTCAAAGGAACAATTGGGTACGTAGACCCCGAGTACTTCCAAGCGAGCCAATTCACGGACAAGAGCGACCTGTACAGCTTTGTAGTAGTCCTAGTTGAGCTATTGACGGGGCAAAAGCCAATCTCAGCAATGAGGGCGGAAGATGGTAGAAGCTTAGCTGCGTATTTTATTACATCAATGGACAAAAGCTGCCTACTTGAGATCGTCGATGCTGGAGTGGTAATGCAAGGTCAAGAGGAAGAGATTACGGGAGTTGCAAATTTGGCAAAGAGATGCTTGAACTCGAACGGAAGGAATCGACCTGCGATGAAGGAAGTGACGATGGAGTTGGAACAAATAAGAGCACAACATGTCGATCCTTCCACTCTTGAGCAAAATCATTATCCGATTGATCATGTAAGGACTCGATCAATTCCAGCTTGGCATGATTGCTCTTAGCCAGTGAGGTCCGTAGCTCAACTATCTTCATCGGACTTCGACTTGCTCCTACGTGATTTAGAACGATAAAGATTTGCGATCTTAATCACTTCTTATCGTGCCTATATTTGTCGGGCACCCAAACTATCGTCTACCAAAAAATATCTTCTTATCATTATCCATATCCATTAAGCGTAGCATCAGATGACTTGGTAGGCAGTCTTGTCTTCAGGAGATAGAAAGATTTCACGGATTTGTACAATGTATGTAAGATATGGAAACAGTTTAGTTGCATTACAGAACGACTCTGCTTATTTCATGGTTTGAATTATTCGATAGCATCTCGCCGGTCTCATTCTCATTAATCCGAATGAAATTTGATCTTCATGGAAAATAGGGCATGTTATGTGCCGTAGCCAAGGTTCTGAAGCACCTGGATATGATCTTGGACTATTTGATAGGTGGATCATTCGAGCCAACCCTAATTTGAAGGGACCCTTGGAGTGCCTTTTATGGAAAAAAAGAAGAAGGGATAAATGGCACAAATGATTTCTGAACTTTAGCCCAATGTGTAATGTCGTTCATAAACTTTAAATTTGTTCAATGTGGTATATAGACTTTTGATACATGTTCAATTTAGTCCCTGAACTGGAAAATGTTCAATGTTATCTTTGAGTTTGAATTAATGGAAGGATAACACTGAACATTTTCATATAGTCTAGGGACTAAATTGAGCATGTACCAAAAGCCCACGGACCATATTAAATAAATTAAAAATTTAGGGACGGCATTGCACATATGACTAAAGTTCAGGAACCACATTACTCATTGGACTACAGTTCAAGGATTATTTGTATAATTATCCCAAAATAAAACACATGATTGGATTGTATATTGTATGAAATATAACTTTAAATGAGCAATCATAAAAGATAATTTGACGTAAATTGGACATTAGGAACACGAAAGGAAAAATTCCTAAGGCGATCAATTGGAAAAGAAAATAATAAAAAGGAAAGTTGAATTCTAATAAAGGATAGGAAAGAAATTGAAAAAAAATTGCATAAAGGGAATGCATGGACAAAAAAGACTGAATAGAGAAAAGAAAAAAAAGGATGGGAACTGAGTAAAAAGCATTATTATAAATTTGATGAAATACAAATATCTTAAATTGGGAAAGATAAAAATTAAACAGATTCCCGAGGTCTCATTATCGTCGGCTAGCAGATATCGTACTCACGTGTTAATTGTACGACCACCCAGCAAAACGATTGCCGTCCCTTGCTTTGGACTTTGAGTATTTTGGGAAGATAGATAGAGAGTTTAATGAGTTTTTTGCTTTCCAACCTTATAAACTCATGAAACCATCAAATTTCCAAATTTCAGTGGTTGTGCGATTGGGATAATTCTATAATTACTTACAAAACTTACGCATTATCTTCGCTACACGTAACATTTTTCCTACCAGATGCATACATTTGTACTCAGTTATGCATCGGGGTTCTATCAATGGACAAATGTGTATATTAGTAATTCTACTTTATCACTCATGTGTATCAAATACTCGAATTTTTTTTTCCAATATGTATAAACAATCTTACCAGATAAATTCGAATCTTGATATTTTTTCCTCTTTTCCATTTCGATTTCTGCATAGTTTTATAAAAGAAATTGCCGTCGTAATTTTGCACTGTTGGAGCTGATAGAACATTCAACACCACCGAGAACATCGCATTCTATCGCCAGTGCAGATGATTCGAAGTAATGCTTGAGAGTCTGGGATGAAATACTGGGCATTTTGGGTTTAAACCCCAATGACTATCTTTCTGAAATCATTGCAAGCAGAAGCTTCTCTTGACCACTATCTGTTTAATGATCTTTCTTCCCTTCCCTTACGTTGTGCAGAGAGACGTGTTGTTTGGAGCATTACGTGTGAAATCAGGCGAGACTTTCAGTATGGTTGGGGAATGAAAAGTTGAACACAGAATTGCTTCCCAAGTATGATTTGTTAGGCGACTATTTATCTTAAAGATGTGATGCTTAGAGCTTTTTGCTCCTTTGGATCTCATGTGATAGGAGAAATGTTTAACTAGGAGAAATATAGGCATCATCTTTTTACCACGAAGTGAGGGAGACACGGAGACCTCTATGCCCCCTTATGCCGACGTAAACTAATTCATTCGTGGGATTCCAACATGAAATGTCCTTTGTGACATTGTTTATGATAAATCCTTTGTGATTTACGATATTCTATGTCCTTTTGCGATGAAACTTAAATATGTCCACAACGAAAATCAGCGTAAAATGATATAGTGTTTGCAATTTTATGAGACGTCGTATCGAAAATATGAACTTACATACGACAACAGCCTCTGATACGGGGCACAGTGCTCCGAGGCAAAACAGGCAGACCGTCATCTACGCAATGGTTAGATGGCCAAGACTTGTCTAGACAAAATAAAAAAAAAGAGTTGTAGATTATGAGATTGTGTATAGCTGTGGATTATGAGATTGTGCGTAGGATTTCTCGGAAATATGAAGAAGAATTCCTTCTGATTAATGACCCGAAGACGAGCCGACTCGGTCCCGCATGGACCAGCAACTCGGTAGTGCACTCGGAAACATAATTAACAATACGAAACAAACCTCGTTACCAGCGGCCTAGAGGAAGCCAAAATCTAGAAGTTATCATCACTGTCAACAATGGAAGCGCTCTCAATCGTGCATCGCGTGTTTATGTATATAAAGACCAATCCTCTCATTCTTCTCTCAGCTTCAAACTGAAAACACATTGGGAGCAAAGCACTCCCACCAACAAATCAAAACGAAATCAGGATGATGATCACAATGATACTGCGAGTGGTGATCAAACTAGTCGCTGTTTATGTCCTTCTCTTTCTGCTGCCGATGAAGTACAAGGCCCACTTCCCCCGGTGGCCCTGCCCAACTGTGCCGCCACGTGTGGTAACTTGACGGTTCCATTCCCTTTCGGGATCGGGTCCAGCTGCTTCCTGGATGAACTCTATGAGATCGAGTGCCACCTTGGCAGCAATGGTACCCTGTTGCCACGTTGTAGAACCTCATGAATGTAACAGTGCTCGACATTTCCCTTCCCGTGCTGGACGACTCCGGAGCTCCCGGCAGATTCATTGACGTCTCTCAGCCGGTCGTCTACTCTGAGCCGGACCTGCCATACTGCACGGGCGGAGCAGTGAACGGCGACATCACGACATCGTTGAACTTGACAAGGAGTCCCTACATGTACGTGCAGACAAAGAATGTGATCGTGTCCGGAGGGTGCAGCAACCTGGCGTTCATGGTCAACATCGGCATGCAGTCGGCGGTTGGCGGCTGCAGGTCGACTTGCGCCATCAATGGGACTGGCAGCCACAATGACTTCGTGAACGGGATCGGCTGCTGCATGAATACGATCCCTTATGGGCTCCAGGCGTACGGCGTGGATTTCAAGACGGAGAATGGTTTATCGACGGTCGACGGATTGCGCAGGTAACGTGAATGCTCTGACAAATTAAAAGTTTTGAATCCCTGATTGAAGCATACAATGCCAGTTTGATTCTCACACCATCAAGTGAGAATATAATCTCACCGTTGAGCCACACTGCTTGGACTTCGATTCGGGGTCTTGATGTCTCCTGCGCGAGGTTAGTCAAATATTCAGTTGATCCGGAATTTACCCGGCTAAGGTAGAATTTCACATCGAAAAGAAAATGTTTCCTATAATTAGCTCTCATGAAATCAAAAATTGTATTCTAAGTAAGATTAGTACATTAGGATTACCCGATCATTAAATATTATTATTGATGGGGGTTGAAGTCACCTAGCTCCTGTGGGTGCTTTATATGAAGGTCATTTGGAATCTCTGAGTCAAACTTAATCCCATGAACCGTCCACACAAATGCAGGTACGCTTTCGTAGTGGATCAATCGTGGTATGATTTTCCTAGCCACATGACCGATGCACGAGCCTTACCATTGCATGTGCCCGTGGCTCTCGATGGGGTATCTTCAATGAAACGTTCATCAAAATGCCAATTTCAGACGTTCTGTACCCACTAGAGGCTGGTGAGCCCAGCTACTTGCGCAGCCGCTATGAATGCTTTTTCTACGGTTCTAATAACCCCAGGCCTTACATGCAATGCCGTTGCACGTCTGGCTTCGCTGGTAATCCCTACATAACTGATGGATGCAAAGGTGAGACGACCCGATGTTTCTTGTCAATGTTAGGTTTAGAGAATTGGAATGGATGCATTTCTCATTTGGCACAAGGCCAATATATAGATACAAGGAAGGGTATAAGCATAATATACAATATAACCTAATATATACAATATATCTAACACCCCCCTTCAAACTCAAGGTGGGTCAACCAAAAAGAGTTTGGAAAGAAGAGCAGCAAAACGTTGTGATGTAAGAGATTTGGTGAAGCAATCGACAAGCTGAGCTGCAGAGGCTACAAAAAGGAGAAAAATGACGCGTGATGTGACAATCGATGTCGATGTGCTTGGTACGCTCATGAAAGACCGGATTTGTAGCAATGTGAATAGCATTCTTGTTGTCGCAGTGAAGAGGATTGGGAGTAAAGGAGGCAACACCCAGATCAGCAAGGAGACGATGAAGCCAAATAATCTCAACTGTAGTGTCAGCCATAGCATGATACTCATACTCAGTAGAGGAGCAAGACACGATAGGCTGCTTCTTGGCACACCAAGAAGTCAGAGAATCACCCAAAAAAACACAAAATCCAATGATGGACTTGCGATCAATAACATTCGCCATCCAGTCAGCAGCAGAGTAAGCACGAAGAGTAAGTGAGGAAGTATATGGGAGAAAAACAGAGTGTGTCATAGTACCGTGAAGATATCGGAGAATCCGTAGTGCAACAACATAATGAACTGTGCAAGGAGTCACTGCAAACTGACTGACAAGATGAACAGCATAGGCGATATCAGGACGAGTGGTCGTAAGATAGACAAGATTGCCAACTAGAGTCCGATAGCGAGTGACATCAGACAGAGGCTCACCATCATCCGAACGAAGTTGTAAATGAAGTTCAATAGGAGTAGCCGCGGTACGATTATCAGATAACTCAGCACGAGCGAGAATGTCAGTGATGTACTTCTGCTAGGAGAGAAGAATGCCACGTCGACTACGAGCAACCTCAATACCGAGAAAATAGCGTAAGAAACCCAGATCGTTCATAGCAAACTGACGGTGAAGATGTTGCTTAGTATAAGCAATATGAGTAGAGTCATCCCTAGTAATAATCATATCATCAACATAGATAAGCAGAATAGTACAACTAGTAGGAGAAGTGTGAGTAAACATAGCATGATCATTTTCACTCTGAATAAAACCAGTTGACCGAACAACATTTGCAAAACGCTCAAACCAAGCTTGAGGAGCCTGTTTGAGACCACAAAGGGCCCGACGAAGACGACAAACTTGACCAGGAGAATGAGCAAGACCAGGAGGTGGCTACATATAAAGTTCCTCCTGAATGGCCCCATGAAGAAAAGCATTCTTCACATCAAGCTGAAATAGAGACCAATTACAAACAGAGGCTACTGCAAGAAGAGTGCAAACGGAAGTCATTTTGACAACAGAAGCAAAGGTCTCCTCATAATCAATTCCATACTCCTAATTAAAATCACGTGCAACGAGACGCGCTTTATATTGCTCAATACTACCATCAGAGCGAGTCTTTATTTTGTAGATCCAGCGACAACATATCAAGGACTTCCCTGGTGGAAGAGACACAAGGTCCCACGTACCAGTGCGCTCAAGAGCAGATAACTCCTCAGACATAGCGTCACACCACTCGGCATGACATACTTCCATACAACAATGTGATGGTTCTTGCAAACTGTGGACAACAGCCATAAAAGAACCAAATTCATCAGAATAACTAGTAGTCGCCACATTCCTAGCCGGAGGACGACGATCTCGCGAAGGATTCCGTCGAGGGGACGATGGGCAAGAATCGACAAGAGGCGTCGGAGTGGCTGGTGAAGTAGACGAAGGAGGAGGCATAACAGGAGAATGTGGTGACACTGGGCCAGACAGAGAAGACATAAGAGGAGGATCATGAGGTGAATCAAGAAGAAAATCCATAAAAACAGATGAAGATGACTGTGAAGAATTAGAAGAGACGGAAAAGAACGGTAGGTGTTCAAAGAACTAAACACTACAAGAGATACGAATACGCTGTGAAGAGGGATCATAACACCTGTAACCTTTATGTTCTGTGCTGTGGCCTAAGAAAGCACACCGAACTGACTTGGCGGAGAGTTTGGTGTGCTCATAGGAAGAAAGAAGCACATAACACGTACAACCAAAAACACGAAGGTGGTGATAAGTGGGTGGTTTCGAGAAGAGACGTTGGTGAGGGGTGGCTTTAGAGAGGACAAGAGAAGGAAGTCGATTTATGATATAAACTGCAGTAGAGAGTGCTTCAGCCCAAAATTCAGGGGGAACGGAATTAGACAATAGAAGAACACGAGTAGTATCCAGAATATGATGGTGTTTTCGCTCAGCAAGACCATTTTGAGCAGGAACACCAGGATAGGACAACTGAGGTAGGGTTCCTTGAGAAGTTAAGAAAGAACGAAAAGCTGTAGAGAGATACTCCCCACCCGAATTAGAACGAAAGACTTTAATAGTTTTAGAGAATTGAGTGGAAATCATGGTTGTAAAATTTTTATAGATAGAGAGAAATTCATCATAAGAACGCATGAAATAAACCCAAATATAACGAGAATAATCATCGATAAACCATACATAATACTTAAAACCGCTTCTAGAAATGTGGGGGGTAGGACCCCAAACATCTGAATGTACTAAATCAAAACAGGCATTAGAAACAAAAGAGCTAACAGGAAAAGGAGGTACAAATTATTTAGCTAAAGGGCAAGTAGTACAAGGACGCATAATAGATGATGGAACAGGCCTAAGTACACCCTACTGACAAAAAAAAGACAAACGAGATGCAGATATATGATCCAGACGCTAGTGCCAACAGTCAAGGTCAAGGATGGCAAGAACATGTTGAGGTAAGGGAAGCTGAAGATGCCATATCGTATACAATCCTCTATGTCTACTACCCTTGCCAATCGTCCGACCACTCGTACGATCCTGCACAACACAACAATCAGCGGTAAATGACACAATATAACCCATATCAGCAAGTTGCCTAACAGATAAAAGATTAAGAGCTAAGTTCGGTATATGCAACACATTAGGCACATAAAAACTGCCAGGAATAGTAAGGTGGCCATGCATAGTGGCAGTGAGAGAGAATCCATCAGCTGTAAAGAACCATTCTGGATTTTTAAGTGTAGTCTATTGAGTGAGTATAACATCCTGAATTTCGATCCATTTCCGGGATCCGACGAAGTGGATATTATTTCTCATCTGATTTTAGTACGTCTCGCCCGGAGCTGGCCCCTCGCGGGATACTGACCAATGGGAAAGGTTAACTAGGAAAACGGTACGTGGACCGGGGACCCGATCGCGAATCAGGTGCAGATTTCGAGAAACGGCAGGGAAGTATTTTGGGCCAGTGTGGGCCGATCCTAGGAAGGTAACGGATTTGGTTTGGCCAACGACGTACGATCGGATCACGGGTGATTCCGCTCGACCGAGAGTACGAGTGGCGAACAAATCCCGAACCTGAATTGAACGATCGTGACCCCTGGAATAACCAATAATTCCTTGCATTCTCCCGGTAATTGAGACCGTCACGACTCGAGTGACCCTAGGTCGATACGCGTAACCCCTAAATAGCCACCCGTCAGTGAGAGGCTCTAAAATTATGTATTGAGCAATTTTGATCGCCAAATTAGACCCGAACTTCGATGTCGAAATTCTATGGGTGTTTGCGACTATTTTGTGAGGTCGATGTCATTTTTGAGTGGCCACACATATTTGGGGTTGGTACGGTCGAAAAATGGAATTTCGACCTGGGACCGGAAAATTACCGTTTTGCCCCTGGACCCTGTACTGGGTATTCCGAATTTTGAATAATTTTGGGCAATAATTGAGGATTAAAATAAGTGAATAAGGAATTGGAATTATTGAATTACCCTTTTGCCCCTCAATTATTGGATTGGGCTGATTATGGACCGTTAGATCAAGGGCAAAATGGTCCGAGGGCTAGGATCGCGACACGTGGCAAACCTTTTTGACACATAAGACTCCTTTGACCACTCTCTCTCCTCCCATTTTCCTCCCCATCAGCCGTGCACTCCCCCTCCCACGCCACTTCTCCTTCTTTTTCCTTTCCTTCTTCTCCTTCATTTTCTTCTTTGTTTGGCCGTGAGAGGCCCTTGCAGGAGGAACTTCGCCGCGACGCCGTGCCGTCGCCGCCGCACCACCTCGCCACCACCAGCAGTCTCATCTCTCTTTCTTCCCTTTCCTCAGCCGCGTGAGCAGCCCCCACCGTGGATCGCCGTCTGCAAGCCGCCGCCGTTTGCGCCGCCGTGGAGGCCGTCCGTCGCCGCCGCTTGCGCCGCTGTGGAATCGGCTCAGCCCACCTATTTTCCCCACTTGTTCAGCCTTGTAAGGAACTTAGGAATCAAAGTGAGTGGAAACCCTAACCCTTAATTAGGCTTGTGTGCATTTTGGACAAGTTTAGGGGTTATTAGGGTATTTTATGGGTTAATTAGTGTGGGCTGATTTGGGGCTGAAGTTGTGGTGACTTTAATGGCCTAAGGTGATAATTTATGGATGGTTTAAAGGCTGTGGATAATTGGATTAGCGGTTTGTTGAGCTTGGTTTGCTTGGTGATGCATATTTGTTGATTTCCGGTACGGTTACTGTTGCGTCGCCGGATTTTGTTATTTTTGGTGTGACCTGTGTGGGCAGAATTTGAAGAAGTGTTCTTCATGAAAGTTGTTCCCAATATCTTTAAGTACAACA